CTCTTGGGCATGTAGGGCGCGCGAGGCTTGGAACTTGGCTCCGGTCTGTTCCCGCCACGTGCGGTCGGGTGAATGCAGGGCAAGGGTCCGGATGATAACGTGGCCTTGGCGTCCCACCCATCAGTCCCGCTTACCAGCACCACCCTCCCCTGATAGCACACCAGGCGCCATCGTCCCCGCCCTTATATTCGCTGCCAGCAATGACAACGACCCTTCCTCCGCGCAAACCGGCTGGCTGGTGCTGGTGGGCCCAGTGACTGAGGCTCGTCAGTGGGGCGCGCTCGAGGCTCAGGTGTTGGGCATGCGGACGCTCGGCCCCAGTCTATTCCTGTGGCGCGTCTGAAGCGACGATGTCCCTGCACCCGGTGCCATCAGTTTCCGAAGAACGCGCGCCCTGTGCCTGTCACCATTGCTGATGATGGCAACAAACCACACGGCACTGGGCACACGGTCAGCAATGCAAGAGAAGCCATGCAGCAATATGGTATCCTATTTGGCTGTGACAGCACGCGTGAGTGACGCAAGAAGCAGCGGTGCGCACAGGAGCAGCGGCAGTGCAAGGCGGCAAGCGCAAGAGCGGCGGCGCATGCAAGAGCGGCAATGCTCAAGGGCAGCGGCACGTCATCCGACAGTTCCTGCTGCGCTTGGGAGGCATGCGCCAGTCCCTCAGGAACAGTATCTGAGATCTCGATTTACAGGTTACCTGACGACGATGCCACAAAGCTATAACTTCACGCCTCAGTGCAGCTCGGTCCATGCATTCCACATCATTTAGATCAAGTACTACACGTATTCATACAATAGAGAGTCCAGCAATATATTCTACAACTGCAGCAACGTTACCTTGAGCTTTCTCACTGCCTTCATCGTCATTCTCGTCATTCTCGTCGTCACTTATGTCTCCACCAGTACCACAGACATCATCCGGACGAGTCAGCAATGGCGGGATTTTGTTGACTGTGAGCTGGACAGAGGAAAGGCGCGCCTGACTGACCATATCAACTTTGGCCTCTCCGGACCCTTGGGTGCCGGTGTATCCAGGTAGGTCGTAGACTTGGAAGACGCGCCGCAGTAGGTGGTTGTTGACAGCCTGGCGACACAGGGCGAAGTCTTGCATGGCACCGTACAGGAGATGCGAGCAGCCCAGACTGGCCAGGGCTGCTCTTAGCAGCTTGTCCTCATCGATAATGGCGGTGTGAAGACAGCAGACCTTGATATTAAGGCGCTCAAGTTCTTCGTTCGCACGTGCGACGCGGCGATACATTTTGATTGTCTTGTGGGTGATAGGCTGCACCCATGGTTTCTGATGGACATCATTCCTGGTATCCTGAAGGAGCAAAAACTCCTCCAGGAAGGCGTAGTGCATGACCTCCAACCAGTCGAGCATTGGCCTTGGTGGATTCATGGTTACAGCGACGGCGTTGTAGTCGGCAACAGCCTTCTTGATTGTCTTGCTATGGACCTGCAGTGATTTTGCAATATGTGTGCACATCTTGTAGCTTCCGCAACTAAGTCTTGGTGTAGGATAAACCTGAAAATCACATACCGGTATGTGAAACATTGAGCTTTTGAAGCTCAAATAACCGCTGCACGACAAGACGATGAAGCTTGTCGAGGGCACGCTGATACGTCTGTTCGCAAATATACTTGAGAGCCTCCTGATATGCAGGTGTCGTTGGATCCCAACGTTCCTGGATGTCCATCTTGATCTCGAGAGCAACAACCTTCGCACTGACATGATCGTATTGTTCTGCCGCAACTCGCTGCTCTGTTTCCAGCTTGCGCATCCGGGTAACATCACGGGAATAAGCCTGTTTTTCAGCTGATGGTGCGTAGGATAAGAATGTGGTCTGCATCTGTTTGAGCTTCGGCTCCAAGTCGCGCAGCTTCTGGAGCAGCTCAACGTACAATGTTGAGTGGATGTCGTAGTCAAGCTCGTCGCCCAGCGTGGCGAAATACGCAAGCTCCTCGTCGCGCCACCGGGTGATGTCATCTGCGATGATTCCCTGCTGCTCCATGCTTTGCCTGAGGGTTTGGCCTTCGATGTTGACACTCTCCAGCACCTGCGTGTAGTTGCCGAGCATGAAGTCGCCCGAGTTCAAGTATTTGTTGGCATCCCATTGCTTGAGAAATGCTTCAATCAAAAGTCTATGGTGGTAAGCAGAGGCATACCAAATAACAGGGGTGAGGTCATTCGACCTGCTGAAGACCCTCTCCATCGTCTCGAGATCCTTGATGCCGGCGCCCTTGATAACGTTCGGGTGGAAGCAAAGTTGGCAGATGTGGAAGTGCAAGTAGCCATGGAAGGCGTTCATGCACATGCGTGCGTGTTTCTTGACATACTCAGGACCGAGGGAGCTGTTCTTGACAGTTATTTCCACGGAACAGCCAATGTCGTAGCCTGCAAGCCACTCGTCAGGCATTGTTTTGAGGGCCTTCGCAACAATTGCAAGAGGATATTTAGCTCTATTTAGCGTAGGTTAGAATAGTAGTGTAGAGGAAAGCTCAAGGACTCACAATTCGCCGCTACGCACCATATCGCACAGCCAGAGAATAAATCCATGGCGGCACGCAGAAGCAAACTTGCCTGACTCCTCATACATCTTCCACATCATCTTCTTCACCTCGGCCGCAGCTGCCTTCCAGTTATTGACGCATTGATCAAGGAGTTTGTGCAGGAGTGCGGCCTGCACCTTGTCGATAATGGTCATGTCACCAGCGGGCACAGTAGAGTCGCCCACATTGCCAACAGGTGCTACAGAATCGCTTGCAGGGGTCGCCGTGGCAATGTCGATGTGCTCATTACTGTCGTCAGCTTGAGTTCGCTTGGTGCTTTCTTCAAGGAGCACCAAAGCAACACCGTCCATGGGGTCTCCTTCCAGCTCGTCAATGTCCTCCCAATCGGCCTCTTCTCTGTCTTCATCTTCCTTGTCGTTGATAGCATGATGGACTTGGTGCCGGCGCGCATCTAGCTGCTTAGATTTACGGCCCGGGACCTCGTTTGCGAACCGGTTGACGTAGGATGTGGACAGCCAATAGGAACTGTCGTTGAAAGAGCACATGTTGCCTGTCACCCGGTTTGCCACCGTTGCCATCCGCTTGAGGCTGTTGTTACCATCGAGGGACCATAGTCGACTAAATGACAAAGGTGGTTCATCTTTAAACTAAGTTAAATGTGAGATTTGTGCAACTTTAGACATATGGTGCACGTACCTTATAGCAGCACGTGCAGCAGGCGTTCAATGGCCGCCAGTCAGAGGCGTCCCATCTAAGAATAGCATGCAACCGTTTCTCCACAATCTGTGTGATGCGGAGGTAGACTTTGAAAGTATCTGCAAATACCTTGCAGAGGTATTCACGATATGGAATCTGTGCGAGATATTAATCAGTTGTAACCAGGTCAGAGTATAGATACGTATCATGTAGTAGTCGCAAATTACCTTGGCAAACGCTTCAATACTGAATGAAGCTTTTTGTTAGCGAAGTCAGTATAGCAGATCCAGCGTCTTGACAGAGACAGCCACTTCAGGCTGTCTGGGTGTCTTTGCGATGTACCCGTGCTCAAGCAGATCAAGAGCAGACGAGGTGCTGTTAGCAGGGTGGAAGACAGTGATCTCATTTTGAAGGGTGAAGATGTCGTAGGTTTTGATGCAATATGGGAGTCGCACTGATTCGTTGATGGGCTGGGGGCTGCAAGCGTGAGTGTCGTCAATCAAGGTGAAGTGTGTCTCCGTGGACCGGGGCGCAGTTGACTCTGCTCTGCTTGGCGAGCATTCAGGAGGCAAATTTGATGCAGGATACTTCCATCGGAGGAACCGGTCAGCCAGGGCATTGAGAAGGGGGCTCCAAGCAGCCTCTTCGCGCATCCGCTGTTGACGCCACTGTTTAGTTTGTTTATACCAGCATAGCTTCCACCTGTAAGCAGTTTTGTGAGCTCTATGAAGGAAAGAAACAGGCAGATTAATGACCTACTGCAACCGCAGCACATCGCGAATTGCGTGCTGAAATTCGGGTGCTGCGGGCATATCATCGTTGACACCATCTTGATTGATTCCGAGTCGTTCCAGGTTCTCTTGTGCAGCGAGATCGATGTCCATAGGCTGTTCTTCTTGTGTGCCTTGCTGAAGGAGGTTGATAGTGTCTTGGCTGTATCCTATTAACATGCCGTCAGCGATGCAACGTTAGACAGACAGATTGTGTACAGACTCACCGGTAAGAGCTTTCTTGATCTGCTCTTCCACCCGAGCCTTCTCTTTTGTGAGTGCTGCACGCCCCAATGTCTTTGATATCGCTCCTCCTGTCATCGCTGTTGTACGAAGCCTGTGCTCCCACAGTTTGACAAAAGTCAACTTTTTCACTCCTTTTGTGCCACCGCTTCTTACTGATGAGGTCGACATGAGATCCGAACCATGTATAACAGATGTTATCGTGGCTTGGAGCGAGGGGGAAGGAGGGGAAGGGCAGGATGACGTGGTGTCAGTCGAGGTTGCGAGTTAACATTGCGAGTGCCAGTTTGCCGCTCAAATCCTCGTGTTCATCTGGCGTGCACGACTGCGTCTACACGTCTGCGGCTCGCCGTGCATTTCCCCTTCGCATAAAAATGCCCAAAGAACTTTGTGAAAGTAGCAAACCACCCACACCACGTGATAAAATCAGGGTGGTCTTATTGGGTAGCGGAGAGTACTCGAGCATGTTCAAATGGAACGAGTGAGTGTTTTGAACTCTCGCAGCCCATTCTACGCTGAATACTTAGTCTGTAGATGGCCTCCGTATCCTACCGGCCCTGATGCCAGTCCTTTCCCCATGGCGGTTATCTGCACTACCGCCTGGCAAGTAACTTCCCTTGAAGTGCTCCTCTCTTACTTCCAAATGATCTGCAACACGGATCTCTCCCAACGCCAACTGATCAAGGCAATCGAAGCACTCGCATCTCCATGCAATCCAGCGGCGGCCAAAGCTTTGAACACTAATAGGCAATTTGATCACTTTTATCCCTGCCTCGCTCTCAACGACGACTGAGAGGCTATCTACACAACATGGTGCGTATGATGATCTCTCGTTCGAAGTGGCCTTCACTGCTCAGTTATTACCTGTAGGGCGGACACACATTCTCAATACCAAGGCCAGGAAAACCCCTGGTTGCCGAAGAAGCTGCCAACCTTGCTCTCGGTGATCGAGTTCATGATACTGCGGGGCAAAGATCAAATGGAAGTGGAGTCTATGGAAAGCTCGCGGCGCGAGTTCAATAAATTCCTACAGGCTATCACAGATAGTAGGAAGACCGCTGCAAGCTGAGCCGAGGAGAGTCCTAGTGGAAGTCACAATGTAGGACACGACGCGCCGAATCCAAACTCTCTGCACAGCCATGCGTCTCATCAAGACAAGGGCAAGAGCGGACATCAGCACTCTTACGCAGCCCCCAGGCCATCTGCTGAATATGCAGCCACTTTGCAGCAGGCCCCCGTTGAGGTTCTTACCGACGATGAGGTTCCAGAGGCCGCAGCAAAGCACGCTTCTCAGAAAGGCAAGGCGAGACACGGTGAGTATTCGCGTTTTGTTTTGTGTGACATAAAGTCTAACGCACCAACTATCCAGCGTCCAAGACTGGCAGGCATGAGTCTCACATTCTCCCAGGGTACTCTGGTGCCTCTGGCAACATCAACATCAGCGATGCCGAGGAGGAGCACCAACCGCCCCCACATCACACAGACACGTCTACACGGGACCCTCATGGTATAGTGCCCACTGACATAATACACAATTTGCTCAACCTCTGCTGTAGTGTATCAAAATTACCAGGACTTCACTGAGCAAATCACCGGCCATACCTACAAGTGCCCCTTCGACCTCAGAACTGACATCCATGTGCCGTCTCTCGGCACATTCCTCGACGACTACGTTGATAGTTTTGGCTATGAAACTAAGTTCATTCACAGGGCCTACAAGGTGTCAGAGAGGTCAACGGATCGATACGACTTCATGGCGCGCACAAGTCGCTTTTTATCCCAGCGCGGGAAGCGATATGGTTCTACTCGCATATTGATAAGTTTTCGGGCCCCTTTGCAGCTCCCCTTCGCAGGCGTCGCCTCGTAGCTGACTCTTAAGCTTGAGTTACCACCGGTCTTACTTTGTATACGAGAATTGTTGCTGCACGTGACTTAGTTTACCACATTCAAAGTTCCCAGGAGTGAGCGTCAAATCATTTATTATAATAGGGAATAAGGTTGCACATCAAGCCTCTCC